AAGTCAAGAAAGTGCTTGTATATAAGTCTACGTGTCGTTTTTATAAGTCTCAAGTTTGATTTTACTCAATTGACTTACTCTTAGACCTTGATTTTGTGAAATGATCCTTAAGTCTTAATGTTTTCAAAGTTTAAAATTGTTTTCTCAAGTTTTGGGGCCAAGAGTTGTGTTTTGTTGGTTAGATTTAAGTTTTGAGCAAGGTAGAGTAAACTGAAAATTTCAGAATTTTGCTCTCCGCTCGAGTGTGAGATCATGCGCTCGAGCGGCCACCTTTATCCTTGCATCTGCGCTCGAGCGACTAGAAGTTCACTCTAGCGTGAAATGCATACTCTCAGAATTTTCATGTTTTTGCAAACTGCTCGAGCGGCAAGAGTTGCACTCGAGCGGGGGCATGAGTCTCATGCTCGAGAGACCATTGAGCGTTCGTCGAGCATGAAAATCGCTTAACCAGAACTTTTTCAAAGCTTGTAAAACACTCGAGCGGAGGAAGTTGCACTTGAACGTCCCCTCACATTTTGCATGTTCGCTCGAGCGAAGAAAGTTACGCTTGAACGGGGACCCTGTTTTCAAAAAATTCGATCAAGTGTTTTAAAATGCATTTTTGTATCCTCATTCTATCCTAGGCATTCCTAGGCAGTTTAAGGTATATTAATGAGGGTAACGTGTAGAAATACATTATAAATAGAACGTAATGAATTAGATATATTTCAACGTGTGTTTCAAATGTGTTTTCGTTATATATTATGTAGGTCACGTGCCGTAAACTGTTTGATTAGTTTGCTCTGTCTGTCTGCACCTGAAGCCAACTGTAAGTAATAACTTAGTAAAGTTATGTTCAATTTTATTTATTTTCTGTATGATAAAATAAGATCTGTTTTATGAAATACTGTATTCTGTACAATAAATGATTGTCCAATTTTTGACATGTATTCGCGGCATCCTTAGCATCATGTGATATTTGTTAGCTATTACTTGGTATCAGAGGTTCCATTATGGGACTTATTATGTCTGTCATCTGTTACCCATACCGGAGGCTCCATCATGGGGCTCAGTATGTTTATTCTCTGTTACCTGGATCCGGAGGTTCCTTTATAGAACTGGTTATTTATAACCACCACATGTTCTGCATCTGTTCTGTTACCGCTAATGAATGTACCACATATGATTAAGGATGAACTCTAATGTGTGTATATGATTTGGACAAGATTATGAATATGAATCTGCTTCTGTTTCTGAAATATGTATGAATCTGTTTTCTGAAGCTGATATGGGGCATCATTCATTAAAACCCTTTACTCTATTATTATTCAATAGGCTCCCGCTCACTATTTATATTATGTATGTTGGCGACCAGACATGTGACTAGGCTCAGAGTTGAAGACCTGACGTCTTAGTTTTTGTCAGCCAACCTTTGTGCCTCCCGAGAAGGTTCCGGATTAAGTCAAGTTTAGTGGCTGTTTGTGAATATACTAGACTTTGTTTCTTTTGATCTTCGGACAAGATTTCTGATAATATGTTCATGGAGTGATGTGTAATTACTGTATCTTTTGACGTCACTCATAAGTTTATAAAAGTTTTTTTTATTATCTGTCCTATGTATGTCTTCACGGCTCAATTATGCTTTGTTCTAATATGTTTTCTTACGCTTATGAGTGATGATTCTACTTATGCTTACATTGTTTATTGTGGCATTCTTAGCATTTGTGTACGTGATACAAAGATCTCTGTCAGTTCCAATTCAAGGGACTCCTGTTTACCATAGTGATGGCCATCACATCTGATCTTCGGTCTTCGTGACCGCATGTTCGATCTTTTAGACCACCTATATTTATTGCTGTTGGATGTACTACGTATTACATTATACCTTCTATATGTAATAAGAACTTGCTTGTATGTAATTGGTTTTACATTTTGATCATCATTCGAAACCCCTTTACACAGTTGTTATTTATTGAGTTTTAGCTCACGTTTATATATATATATATATATAGGTAATCCAGTTCAGGAGGGGATGTAGTGGCGACGATCTCGCCTCCGTTTTGGTCAAGCTACCTTTTGTGCCTCGTGTTGAGGTACCCATCGGTTGGAGCACTGACTGACCCAGTGGTTACCCTTTTGGGATTTCACTCACGCTCTAGTCGGATGTCATTGGTGTCATAATTGTTGTTGATGGGAATGACTTAGCTCTTTTGGTTGTGTTGTATTATAAGAAACTTGTGATACCTTGATGTATATGTATATATATATATATATATGTAACTATGGTGGTGTTTGGGAAGTTTGTGTGGGTTTTTTTTTTTGATTTCTTCCATTAAAAGACAAACTTTTTGGAAAATCAAAAAAAAAAAATCCAAACAAAATATCACATCTAACCCCATAATCATTTCACTTTTTCTCTCACATACATCACATCCAACCACAAAAACCCAACTATCTTCCCAAACACCAAAAATTTTTTCTCCAATAATATTTTACAACTAAAAAAATTTACATAAAAACTCACTTCCCAAACACCCACTATGTCTTTTGTCTCATGTAAAGTCACAACTCGTTGGACGCCCTTCTTTCTTATGTATTAACTTCCACTAGCCCTGTTCTTTTGGTTTGTTCAGTTAGGCCTTTAGTAATCGCGGATTACTGGCCGATTACGATACTAAACCTATAAGGGCGGGTTTAGGTCGTGACATTGACTGTGTATAGTTGACATTGTAATGGTTGATGATTATATTAAATTTTATGACCAAATTACCTTATTTTATCTTTTGTAAAAATTTAATATAATCATCATGTGCACAACATTGAACAAATTTTCATCCAAATATCTAACAGATGAATAACAAAAGGACATAATATTTAAATTCAAATAATTTGAAGGGGGTAATTGTTGGGTTTAAAATATTATGAGGGTAAAGTGTAATGATCGATAGTTTGAGGGGATTTAATATAATTTGCACAAAAATATAAATGAATCCCCTAAACTATTGACATATTTTACTTTGACCCATTCCATTGAAGGGTCTAGTTAGTAGGTTTTCATAGGTTATAGAATTTATTTGTACATTTTTCTAATTTAAGGGACAAAATAATATTTTTTTATAGTTTTTCAGGTGGTCTATTTGTACATTTTCATATTTTAGAGAGTCAAAATGATACTTTTTAATAATTTAGGAAGTCTTCGTGTAAATAACCCTAAAAAATACATACATATTAAGTGAATTTTTTTTTATCTCTTAATTATCTAGTAAAAATGAGTCAGTATATCTCACTTATAAAACTTTATATTCAATAATTAATTTAAAATATCATGCATGTAAATAATATTATGTAATATTCTAAAATTATTTTAATAATTACACGGTTGCTTTAAAAAAGTGTTAAAAAAATTAATTTTTTATTCATTACGGAAAAAACATAAAAATAAAAAAATAATATAATTTAAATAAATAAAAAAGTCAAGAAGTTAATTTTTTTAAATATATTTTTTTTACCTTCCCAAAGAGGCCAAAATACGACTTCTTTGTCATGTGGTCCGCAACTTTGCAGTTTGCACAGACATGTCTGTGGTCACATGTTCGTCCAAAAAGAAAAAAATGGTGTAACAATACTATAATAAAAGAAATGACAGTTTTAATATCCAACGGTTGCCGTTTATTTGTTTGTTTTTTTTTTTTTTTTGGCACTCATTCAACCCTAAAATACTTGTGCGGTAATTTTGATCCAAAAAAAAAAAAAAACAGAATACATCTTGCGAATCAGTGTTGTTAAGAATATAAGTAAAAGATAATTTAAGACATTTTTTATTAAGTTTAATATATTTTTAAATATTATATATATATATATATATATTTAACATTAAATAATATTTAAAAATGACACTTATTAACGTTTAATATGACCAAAACAAACAAGAAAATGGCCCGTTTCACAATTTTGGGACAGCTGGCGTCTAAGAGTTTTCAAACAATTGTTACACGAAACGGACAGGCAGGGAGAGGCTCACTCGGTCTATTTGTGTGGATTGAAATGTATTATTAGAGCATGGATTGAAATGTATTATTAGAGCATTTTTAATGGTTGAATAAATTTTTTATTAAATTTGAGTAAATAAAAGTCAATTTTCTCATTCTGATACTAACAGTTCCAACCATTCACTGTAGCGTGCATTAAACCGAGAGGGTCGTCCGGGGGGTTGACCGGCTGGTCAATCGGCCAGTCGACTGATAAGAGCAAATTTGACCTTTTTCCCTTCATTTCTGTTGCTTCAAAAAATGCTAAGGCGGTCGACCGGGAGATCGACCGGGTGGGCGACGTCGACCCCATAATGTAAAATTTTCACAAATTTATGTTTTAAATAGGTCATCCGGTGGGACATCCGGTTGGACGTCCGACTGGGCGTCCGGTGGGTCCAACTCGACGGCTATCCACAGTGAATTGGTGAAAGGGCAAGCCATTCTGAATTTAATGAAACGTTTGATATTTTTTCAATTTGATCCTGTTTTGGTACAACCGTTGGAGTACAAAAGACACATTTTTTTCATCAAATTTGAATTTGATGTTGGATTTGGTGAACGGTTGGAGATGGCTTTAGGCTTGTGAGTTTTATTATGGGTTCTATTTTGATGATTTAATTTGTTTAATATGTAGAGTTCATTGAGTATTTTATATTTGTAAAAAAATTACGTTAATCAAATATTAATAACTTCTTGATTAGAATATATTTTTGTCAATAGTACGTATGATTTTAAAAATAAATTATTAATAAAAATATATTTTAATTAAAAAATTACTAATATTCAATGAAAGTAATTTTTTTAAAATATCAACTATTCAATTGATTTTAAATATTAAACAACTTAAATTATTAAAATGAGAAACATAATGATCTCCACGATTCTAACAATGCTTTCTAATTTACACAATAGACAGAAGAGCAGCGTTCCTTCTTATTATTGGTTACACTCTCATCTCACGAAATGGTGAATGGAAAATTCTAGGCTAGTGGAAAAATAACTTAAATTATTGAGACAGAAACCAAAGTGAATTTTACGTATCCAAACAACGTGGGCCAATCTAATGTAGACTAATGTTAACCAGAAAAAAATCTGATGTAGACTAGAGAGGGGCTATCTTCCAAAAATTGACTACATCCTGAATCATGTCCATCTCCATTACCAATCACAATCTGTTCATTTCTCTCATTATATAATTCTCTCTCTCTCTCTCTACCACACACTCAATCATCTACCTTCTTTTCTTGCTTCTTCATCTCTCTTCAATGGACTCAAACATTCTCCAACTAGCTTACGATTTAAACCCATTCATTCGAGTCTACAAAGATGGCAAAGTAGAGAGACTCATGGGCACCGAGGTTGTTCCTCCATCAACCACCGATCCAAAAACCGGCGTCCACTCCAAAGACCTCGTAATCTCGCCGGAGACCGGTGTCGCCGCTAGGCTCTACAAGCCCAAAACCACAACCACCGATCAAAAACTCCCTCTCCTTATCTACTTCCACGGCGGCGCGTTTTTCGTCCAAACTGCCTTCTCTCCCACATACCAGACCTTCCTCAATTCTCTCTCCTCCGAAGCCAATGCAATTGTAGTCTCTGTTGATTACCGGAGAGCTCCTGAGAACCCGCTCCCAATCGGGTACGACGATTCGTGGGAGGCGGTCAAGTGGGTTGCTTCTCACACCTCCGCCGTCGCACACGGTGGCGGTCTGGTGGAGGAGTGGCTGAGAGACTATGCTGACTTTGAGAGAGTGTTCTTTGGTGGAGATAGTGCTGGTGCTAATATAGCCCATCACATGGCCATTCGGGTCGGGTTGGAGGGCTTGTTGGGCGGTGTGAAACTCGTGGGGATTGTTTTGACGAACCCGTATTTTTGGGGGAAAGATCCGATTGGTGGGGAAGGGACTAATATGGATATAAAAGCACTGATGGACGAGTTTTGGATCAAGGCATGTCCGTCGAGTAGCGGGTCGGATGACCCGATGATAAACCCGGTGGTGGATCCGAATTTGGCAAGGCTAGGGTGTAGCAAGGTCTTGGTTTGTGTAGCTGAGAAAGATGTGTTGAGAGATAGGGGTTGGCTTTATTGTGAGGCATTGGGTAAGAGTGGGTGGGGAGGAGTGGTGGAGATTATGGAGAGTGAAGGGGAAGATCATGTGTTTCATTTGGAAAAGCCCAATTGTGAGAAAGCCATGGATTTGGTGAAAAGAGTGATCTCTTTCATGGGCCTGGAGGCCCATGACAAGGCCCAATCATAGTGGTGGTGAGATTCAAGATTATCTCATTGGATTCATCTAAAATATAGCCAATGATCAATATCAATGTATATGTAATATTTTGAAGGAAAATGCTAATTTCAATCAAATGTGTAACATTGTATTGAAATGAGAAAATTGCATTCAAATTCTAATAAATCTGACATTATTTCCACCTTAATGTCACCTAATGGGCTATTTTTAGCATATATTTTTTTGGTCATCACAATATTTTTACTATAATAATGTTATAATAATTAAATTTGTTTGCTAAATGATATATCATCATCACTTCATTGGTAAAACAAACGCATTTTTACAAAGGGATGGAAAGTGTCGTGTCATTGGTGGGCAAACTCCATATCAATTTCATGATACTATTTATAGTATTTGTTTGCACATAGGTAAGTATAGAATAAGCAGTTTATGGTCTTTCAATGAAAAAAAATTTAAAAATTATGAGTTACTTTTTCAACAACTACCCCCCAATTCAACATGTATAGAAGCAGTAGTTGACCTAGTTAAGACTTTTATGTTTCGTAAGATTCACATTAATAAATTTTTATTTTAATTAAAAAATATTTTAAAACATACACTGACACGTTAGTTATAAAACTGCTTATTTTAAATTTTGTTACCGGGAAAGTCTATAGTACATTTTGTATAAAAAATGTACGGTACATACAAAATCAATGGTTAGGATTGAGCAACATCATTAAAAGTGACCTGCTAAACAGGTCACTTTTTATAGTTATGAGCTAAAATCATATTTCTTCATAACTATAATCAAATTGATCATAATTTAGTTATAACTACATCTCATAACCAACACCATTTTGTTCATAACTAATATCACATATTTCATAACCACATCTTATAACCAACGCCATTTTGTTCATAACTAATATCACATATTTCATAATCATAATCACATATCTCATAATCAACACCACTTTGATCATAACAAATATCACATATCTCATAACTATTGATCACATACCTCATAACCACATCTCATAACCAATCCCTTTGAGTCATAACAAACATCACATATCTCATAGCCACTAGTCACATATCTCGTAACCAACACCTTTTTGTCATAACTAATATCACATATCTCATAATCACTAATCACACATCTCATAACTACTACCCACGTACATCATAACCACATCTCATAACCAATCCCTTTGAGTCATAACCAACATCACATATCTCATAACCACTAGTTACATATCTCGTAACCAACACCTTTTTGTCATAACCAATATCACATATTTCATAACCACTAATCACATATCTTATAATTAACATCTTTTTGCTCATAACCACATCACTTTGATCATAACCAACATCACATATCTCATAACTACTAGTCACATATCTAATAACCAACATCACATATCTCACAACCACTAGTCACATTACCAATATCTCATAACTCATAACCATTAATACATATAGCATAACTCTGACACCACTTTGCTCATAACCATTACCCACATATCTCATAACCACTAACACATATAGCATAACCAAATACCCTTTGACACCACTTCTGAGGACGGGTGTGATGACCCGTTTTTCAACCCGGGGAAGAATCCGAAGCTGTCGAGGATGGGTTGTAGGAAGGTGTTGGTATGTGTGGGTGAGAAAGATGTGTTGAGGGATAGGGGGTGGTGTTATAAAGAGGAGTTGGGGAAGAGTGGGTGGGGAGGAGTGGTGGAGGTTATGGAGGCTGTAGGAGAGAACCATGTGTTCCATTTGGTTGACCCGACTTGCGACAATGCTGTGGCTATGCTCGACCGAGTGGCTTCTTTTTTGAATGAAGAAGACAATGCCTAGTGATAGTATAATATTGGTCTTTTTTTTCTTTTCTTTTTTTTTTAATTTTAATAATGTAATTTAGTTGCATCTATCTACTGGTTTCATGCAACATGTGATCAAATTATTTGCGAGACATGGCAATTCAAAGTGAAAATGTTGGGTTGTCGGTTAGGACCATGGATCCTCTAAATTGATTTTTTTTTTTTTTTTTTATAAATAAATTTATAGTAAAGTGTTCTATGGTTGAAATATAATTTACAATATGTGAATACTATATCTCGATTATATAACAAAGACATTACTCTACAAAATAAAATTTCTTCTAAAAGATCTATGCCATGCTCTAACAAGCATGTGGAGACCGAGTGAAAGACATGCCAACATATGGTTAAACCCTAATTATGACATATGAAAAGGTTGCTGGCAGCAATACTTTTTAATTTTCATTACATATTAAATGATTATAAAATTATTATATGAGCTTATTATTATCTTAATCAAAACTATTGGTTGGTTGCGTAAGGTTTTGAGTTCAAATCTGATAGAGAATTTTGATATTTTCTGTAACTCTAATAACACATCTAACTCCTACTCATATATACTGTGTGACCAAAAAAAAAAAATGTTACTATTTCAAATTAAAAAAAGAAGTCATTACACATTTTTTTTTTTTTTTGATACATAGTTATTACACATTTATTAAGGTGTTTTTTTCTCAACAATTAATTCACATAATTGTAATGGAGAGAATTTCAATTCATACTAAAAACAATTATTGAACTAATCATATATCATTTGAACTTTGAGGGTAGAAGATTTTTTTATTTTTTATTTATATAAATAGGATAATGAACTCACAAACAATTTTTGTAAGATTTTGATTGCAGTAATACTTGTAGAAAAATACTTGGCAAAATTACATCAATAAAATTATAGGGAGTTTGTGTTTCTACCACATTTTATTTATAATCACATACATTACCTGAATTGGTCCACTATTTACTCCTATTCCAAATGCAATATAGACGCGTGAGAACAAAATTTGATAAGAAAATATTATTGAATTACATTTTGACAAATTGGGCTGTCTATTTTTTTTTATCAAATGTTTGATTCCTAAAATGTCTTTGGTAAGCCCATAACATCAAGATTGAAAAAATAAATAGATATTACTTGATCTATGAGGCCAATGGTGATCAAGAGATGCCATTATCACACAAATCTTAACCAAAATTTACACTAGATTTACTAATTCAACCTCCTAAATTCGAAAATTGATATCCTAAAGTATTATTTTTAAATTTATTTTCAGTGACATGAATTATATTACATGCACTACAAGAAATCGCACCTTTGGCGACCATTTTTGGCGACTAAACAAATTTTAATCTCCGAAAGCATATTTTTTGGCGACTAAAATTTAAATTTGTTAGAGTTGGTTCAAGATATCGCTACTAAAATATTTTAGTCAGTAAATATTACTTATTGGCGACTAAATTTAAATTTAGTCAGTAAAAATTCCACTTTCAGCGACTAAAAATTTGATTGGTCGCTATTAGTCCAAATTTTAGGCCCAAAAAAATAAATTAATCTGCAATATTGGTTTTTCCCGACTAAAATTAAAATTAGTCGCCAAATAGTACTTTTGGCGACTAATATTTTCGTCGCTGTTCCGTAATCTTTTGGCTACAAAAAAATTTAGTCGGCAGATCTATTCCTTTGCCGTTTAATACAGCAAGTAGTTGCTAAATGTTCAATTTTCAACCATTCTGTGCACGCCCCTCTCTTCATTATACAACATCACACTTTGTAACACACACACACACACGCACACCGTCCTTCATCAAACCTCACAAAAACCATCCCCCTCACCGTAGCCCACCGTACGGTTAACATTACGACTGCTACCGCCCCCCGCACAAATCACCACCGTCACAACTCACCACTGCCATAGCCGCACATCGCAGGTACCTCTCTCTCTGTGTGTGTGTCTCTCGCAGTCTCGCTCTCACTCACGGTCTGTCCGTTTCTCTCTCTCTCTGTCACTTGAGCTCTCTCACACAGTCTCTCTCTCTCTCTTCTTTACTCTGCTTCCCACTCTTCTGACATTGTTGGTTTAGGGTTTATTCAAATTTGAATGTATGTGTCTTTAATTTATTAAAAATTTGAAAGATGATGTTTAATATATGTGTGTGTGTGAGAGGGTAATTTATGTAAAAATTGGGCCGAGCTAGGTGATGGGCCGTTATGAGTCACAGTATAAAGGGCCGAAGTGAAATGGCCATATAAGATACTCCGGTCGTGCGTTATTTTGGAGTTAGTCCGGTCCTAAGGATGTGAAGCTAGACCGGTCCAGTAGGAGATCGAAGTTAGATCGGTCTAAAGGCTCCTTGGAATTAGACCGGTCTTAAAATTACACCGGTCTCGAAATATTAGTTCGGTCTGACCGCGCCATGCGTTGTGCATGAGGAGCCGCTGTAAGAGCGATAAAGAGTTAGTTCGGCATACTCTTCGACTGAACATAAACATATTTACTTCGGTCATATTGGAGTTCGGCCATGATAAAACCATCTCACTTGGTTTAAGCAGTGAGGGGGGGTGCTAAAGGATAAGCATTATCCTACAGGAGTATGAATCCTAGGAGGACTCCGCATGGAGGAATAGAAGTCCTACTAGGATTGTGCCACACAAAACCTATAAAAGCTCATAAACGTCACCTTAGGAAAAAACACACAACTTTGCTTTCTGAATACATAGAGCTTTTGTTTATTTGTCAAGCTTACTGACTTAGGCATCGGAGGGGTTTCCGGCACACACCCGTCGGCTAGCTCACGTTTGTGTTTTCAGGTGATAAAGCGACGACGTATGAAGGAGAGAGGACTTGGTCAACAGGATTATACGAGAAGGTTTATTTCTTTCCCGTACATTTGGCGCCGTCTGTGGGAACTACAGACAGAACAAAACCTCTTGACTAAAGCTTCTCCTCTTTGAAAACCATGGCGCACATTGAAGAATTGCCACAGTCCGCCATCGACGGGCAAACTCCAGATGAGGGTGCAAGGCGTGAGGGATTACCTTCTATCCCTCCCATGGCGGACTTGGAGTCCTAACGACATAATAGCAGGAGGGATGCAAGGGGGAGACGGACTCATAGCCCCCGTCACTCTCGTTCACAAAGTCCTGACAGGCAAAGGCAGAGGATTGATCCTCAAATTCTGGAGGACCGCGTGAAGGAGCAAGACGAATTGCTAAGGAAAATGGCGGCGGACATGGAGGCCTTGAAGCGCCAGATGAAGAACAAAGAAGTGGCGACAGGAGAGGGGCGCAAAAACAAGACGCCCCCTCGCCGCTCAGAAAATCGTAGTAGGAATACCACACCC